GGACGTGCTGACCACGGGGCGGCTGAGGTAAATCATGCAGATGCAGAGTCCCTGGTGTTTCCCGGCGCGGCCCGGATGGTGCGAGCTGACGGCCCCGTGCAGGCCTCTGTGTCTGGGGCCCTGGCACCCGGGGGCTGCTGTTTGACCCGCACGCCCTTCCCTGAAGCCTTCCGTAACGTGCCCTCTCCTGAGCCTGTCTCTTGCCTGGATCCTCCTGTCCCGCCACCTTCCACACAGCTCGCCCCCGGGAACCGTGAGGCTCCCTCGCGTGGGGCCGGGCGCGGACGGCTGGCCGCTGGGGTCTGCGGCAGAGGCGTGCGGCCCGGAAGGCTGCTCCCACCGGCAGACCCGGGTGGTTGGGCCAGAGGGGCCTGAGCTGGGCTGTGGGCCGCCTGGGAGAGAAGTGTGTAGCAACGCCGCTAGCAAAATCTTTGTGTGAGCCATTTTATGCTGGCTTTTTGTTGTTTCTTCTTAAAATAAGACCTAGAAGGAAATCATCCCCGATTTTGTCATTCCAAGGAGAGGGGAAGGGAACTGTCAAGTTTTGCACATGCTCTTCGGGGTAACTAAGCGGCCAGCCACGTTCCTAAACGAGTTGCTGCCTGCCACCGCCGGGGGCTCCAGGGAGGGCCTGGCCCAGAGCACGGGCAGTAGGTGGGTGGGGACGCGCCCCGCAGAGCGCACCCTCGGGCCACCGCAGCTGCGTGACGCCCGCGCTCTGAGCGCTGCGTCCGGCGTGGAGCCGGAGGCGGGGGCGGCGCGCGGACGTCCGCGGGGCCCTGTACTGCTTTGAGGAAGCGGGGCTCGTCCCGCCAGCGGGAGTGCGGGGCGGACGCAGGGGTCCTCCGGAGAGGGCCGGTGGTCTTGGCAGATGCTCTAGTGCTTCGTCGACAGCTTTGCGCTCCCCTTCTGCCTCCAGCCTCACCGCGCGCTCCTACCAGCTGGTCCCCTTCAGGCCGGGATCTTGTTTCTGAGGTCCCTTCTCCGACGGCTGCTCGCCTGACGAGTTGCCCGCACTCACCTGCCCTGTGTGCTCATCTGCTCGCTCTCTCCCCTGCGGGTGTGTGACTGCCGTCCCCGTGACCAGCTGCCCTGCCCTGTCCCCCCTCTGCTGCCCCTGCGGGAGCCACACATGCTTGCCGCCGCCCGTGCACTCAGCAACACGGCCAGGCCCGCACACCGAATTCCGGGGCGCATTGTATGTCAGAAGGAAAGAAAGGTTTTTCTCATTTTGAAATACAACAGAACAGCCCCGGATGCTGTTCCAAGCTCAAGGTGTTGTACCCTTCCGGTGGACCTGCCGTCAGCGCGACAGAGCTTCCTGGTTGAGAAAGAGTAAAAACAAAAGGTCACCTGTTCGCCAGCCCTTTCCTCTACCCCTGTATTTCCTCTCCTTCCCCTCCCCAATAAAAACAGAAAACACTAGAATTTATTTATATGTATTGATGTTGTAGGTCTAGGTGAAAAAAAGTAAATGTTTCACTGCTCTATTTATATATAATGTCTGAATTATTCTGTGCAGGAAAGGCCAGGAAATTGCATGTGAAGTTCAGTGCATTCACCACCTCTGTGTGCCCGAGCTGCGGTCTCTTTCCCACTAAGATACAGATTTTAAATTGGGCTTGGGGCAGAGGGCAGGTCTGAGGCCTGCCTGACCCCACATCCCTTCCTCGGTCTGATGAAATGCAGTTTTTAGTGCAGAGAGGTTTTAAGGTGCAATATCTCTTTTCACGTGGTTTTAGAACCAAGCTCAAGGTAATAGGGCTTAGGGTCTTAGTCTCGTTTCAAACCCCCATCCTTAGAATGCGAATCCATGGGGAGGCCTCTGCCAGGATGCCATGGGGCTTTTGGTGGGAACAGGTGAAGACCAGCACTTACCTTTCTGGGGCTGCTGAGATTGGGGTGGAGGGGGAATGGTGGGGGGTGGGGTCAGAACCCTGTCAGTGCACCTCTCCCTCCCTCCTGATGCTGGCAGCTTGGCCCTGGCCATTGATGGTGCAGCGTGTTGCTTGGCAACCAGTGACCCTGCAGTAGTGTCTGTCCAGTGTCAACTGCTCAGTGGGGTGACATGCTGGAGTGTGGGGTCGAGTGTTCAAGAGACATACACCCCCCTTGAAAACCTCTCTGCCAGTTATATTTGGTCTGGTTTTCTTTAGTGTTGCTTCCCCCTTTTTAGTCCACATTGTTGTTTTCAAACTTGGAATTCATACACTTCTGGCTCTGGGTTCCTTATGAGGGAAAACAGAGAATGACTTATTCAGAAATTGGTTGAGTTCCAAAGATGTGGTCATTCCAGCCACTTGGAGGGGTATTGGGGAATCTTGTGAAGTACTGACCTCGGGTCTCTCCAGCTATGCCCTCGCCCTCCTGTCTTCTGGATCTGCCCTCTGGATGGGTGATGAGGTTTGTGACTGATGCTCAGAGCCAAGGAGGCTGAGGGTGTGCACATGAGTGCACGGCCGTGTTCAGAAATGGCCCACTGAGGCAGTGCGTGGCAGACTGGTGAAGCCCCTCCCTGCTGTTCGGTTCCCCTCCACCAAGTAGCTGCATGTTGCCTCTCAAATATGTATTTGTCCCTTTTCACTGCTTGCAGAGCAAGCCTGGGTTAGGTGGTCTGTGGGAAATGGCCTTTGACAACTAAGGGCACTAGAGTGTTTGTGCTTTGTCATGTTTTGTGCTGAATGGGAAATGCAGACTTCCAGAAAGCCAGCTCTTCCTGCTTGAAAACATGAGATGGACCCAAGAGATCACCTGGGACTGGGTGGCTCAGTGTTGGGGTCAGGCACTGTGCCCTAGCCATGCCCTCCATCAGGACCACCAGTGCATACTTGGCTAGTGCTCTTCCGGGCGCCTCTGACCTTGCCATTCACCGTCTTCCCACCCTGGCCGGGTGGCTGTGTCCCCGGGACCCTGTCTTCAGCATGTTATGAAGCCTCAGAGAGGAAATGTCTATGAAGGCTCTGGGTGGATGACTTTCTTCCATGGTTTAAAGGGGATACTGTACTCTGAGCTTTTGACCTCATGCCTTGCGTAGTAAAAAAGGGTTTGGGTTTTTTGTTGTCGAGAGTTTTTTGTTCCCTTTTGTTTTGGCCTTTCCTCTTTGTCTTTTCATGTAGACCAGATATTTGAAAGGGCAGACGATGGCTAAAGGTGTAATGTGCAGCTTGTTTATATATTTTCTGGGAAGCTTTTGCCTTGGATGGGAAATGGAATCATGGATTCAGCAGGCCATGTGGTACACACACCCTTTGCCCTTCCCTCCGAATCAGTACCTATTGTTTCTCCTTTCAAATATGTGATTGTACTAGCTCTTTCCATATGAAAGAATTCTCCTTATTTAAATAAAAAAATTTAAAAAAAAAGAAAAGAAAAAGCCCTAAAGCTGAACATGCTTTCTCAGGCTGTGTGTCCCTCGATTTTCTGTGGTCATTTGATGAGAGAGATGGAAGAGTTTTTCTGGACAGCTTATGTGGAAATCGGGAGTGACTTGGCTGAAATGCTTTAAAAGCAAGGTGGGGGAGAGAAGGGATTGAAACCTATAGATAGGGTGCATCTTCCAAATGGGGGAGCATTAGTGCTGGTCCTTTCCCCTGGTGGGTGATAGGAAGGTGTGCAGGACATCTGCCTGCCCTTTGCCCTCCCCCTACTTCCCCTGAGGAGTGGGCAGGTCAGAGGAGAAAGCATCTGATTTGTCATGGCTTATTATTATTTTTTAATTTTGAAGTAAGCTCATGACCCCATGATCGAGAGTTGCATGCTCTACCAAACTGAGCCAGCCAGGCGCCCTGCTTTGTCGCGTTTTTGTTGTTTTTTTGGTTTTTTTCGCCACTTCTTAGTGACCCTTTTCTATTGCTGGGAGGAGAAGATTATACTGCGCTTTCGGGTAGGAAAGATGAGCACTCCAGGCTTGGGGAAGTGAGGGGTCAAGAGCTTGGATTTGAGTCCCAGCGGTGATGCTCCGTTCTGCCCCCACCCACCCTAGCTGCATGACTTGGAAGGACACTCCACCCCTTGGAGTCACAATTTCAACTGTAAAATGTCGATTTAACAGTACCTACACCTCCTGGGGTAGTGTGGATTCAAAGAGGTCACTTAACACAGTGGCCTGGCAGCAGTTAAGAATATAGGAAACTTACAAATGATCCCCACGTAGAACACTTTGCATGAGGAAAGACTCCCTGCAGATTCCTTCTGCGCCTCTTGACTTTAAAGAATTGGGACCTGGGCACGGGCTGTCCGGGCTGTCTCAGCTCTAGTGGCCACACCCGTTCCCTGGAGTCACTGCCCCTGGGGACGGGTGGTTCACGGAACTTCACCTAGGAGCCAGCCAGCCCCACTCCTCCCGGGGCCCAGGGAGCCCCCGGCTTCAGGCAGGATGAGCCCCAGCTCGCTCCCTTCTCCACAGCCTTGAGCGAGGCATGGGTAAGTCAGAAGTAACCCTACATTCTTAACCGCTGTCTTCTAACGCTGGCTTGACCAACGTTCGCGGGGGAAAAAGATCTTGCACGGTGAAGAACCGTAATTGTAGTTCTTAACCCCGCAGTGCCCATCCATGAGATGAACACACACGTGCACGAAAGGACAGGAAGAGGGAGACTGGGAAGAAGGGTGGCGTTCCCGTCCGTTAAACGTCCCGCCCCGCCGTTCTCCTGGCCAAAGGCGCTGTGTCTCCTGCAGCGGGGGGACGGAGGAGTGGCGACGGGGGGCGCAGGGGCCCAAGGGACCCTGGGGAGCGGTGGGCGGGGACGCCAGGGGGGCGGGGGTCCGGTGGGGGGCGGGAGCCCGAGGGGAGGTGGGGCGGGAGAGCGGCGGCCGGGAAGGGCGGAGCCCGGGCGAGATGAGACCCCGGAGTCTGCGCGGGACGCGCGTGCGCGGCTTGCGGACGAGCTGGGGCGGGGGCTTCGGCATCCGGCCCGACAAGGGGCGGGGCCGAGGGCAGGTGCGCCGGGGGGGAGAGGGGCGCCCCAGCAGGTGCAGCCTTGGGAGAGGAGGGGGTGCAGCCTGAGGGAGAAAGAATGCCTGGAAGAGGAGTGGGGGCCTCCCAGGACCCATGAGGTCTCTGCCGAGAAGAGGCCCGCCAAGGCGGCGGCAGCACTGACCCTGCCCGCCCTCCCGGCGCACGTGCGCACCCGCGGGCTCCGGGCAGACACCCGCACGCGAGGTGCTCGCCGGACCGCACTGAGACGCCCATGGTTAAGGCCCGACTGTCTTGTTTTTTTAAAAAAGGACACCGGAGCGTTCAGTGGGCACGAGGTTCCCGGAATACTAAAGCCGTTAACGACGTTACTATAGAGAAGGGTCCCCGCGCGGCCCCGGACCCGGAGAGCCCTTACGACGCACGCGCGGTGCTCTGGCCCAGGGCGCACGCGCGCCGCTCCCGCGAAGGGCTCCGCAGGCACGGCGAGTCGAGCGTCGAGTAGGAGGTGCGTGGGCGGCGCCGAGTGCCGAGCGGTCTCGCCCCCGCGCGCGACGAGAACCCCTAACGGTCGCCGCCCCCCGCACCCCCGCCGGCAGATCCGAGGCAGGGCCGGACGCGGGGAGCACCTCTGCGGGAACTCGACGAACCGAGAGTACGTTTGGGGCGCCAGGGACGAGCGCCCAGATGAGACCCCGGGGAGTCTGCGCGGGTCGCGCGTGCGCGGCTTGCGGACGAGCTGGGGCGGGGGCGTCGGCGTCAGGCCCGACGGGGGGCGGGGCCGAGGGCAGGTGCGCCCGGGGAGAGAGGGGAGCCTGGCAGGTGCAGCCTTGGGAGAGGAGGGGGTGCAGGCTGAGGGAGAAAGGGAATGCCTGGAAGAGGAGTGGGGGCCTCCCGGGGCCGATGAGGCCTCTGCCGAGAAGAGGCCCGCCAAAGGCCAGATGCAGCTTGTTTGGTGCGAGAAAGGGCGCTTAGCGTAGACGCAGCCTTAAGACAAGTGGAGCTCGAGGGAAGATGATGCCTCGGGGAGGAAGCGGGGGCGCCTGGGTACAGATGCACCCTCAGGGTGAGAAAGGGGGCGCTTAGGGGATGGGGAGCCTTCTGAGACCCAGAAGGGCGAGGTTGGCGAGGTCCGCGCTCTTCCCTAATGAGCAGCTCCTCTCCGGGAAGTGCTCAGCTGGTGTTCCTCGAGTGACTTGTTGAGTGAGTGAATATTCAGTCCTGAGGCCCCCGAATTCTCACCTTAGTTGACTCCTGGTGTCCTCCTGACTTTCTCTCAACGACCTGTCCCTAACGCACGGTTCTTCGTGGTGCACCTGAGAGCCAGGGGGGTTGCAGTGCTTTTCCTCGTATCTGTGAGCCTTCAGGGTTGCTGCTTATTTATTGATGCCACCTCTTCCCTTCTTCTCCAGGCCATCCTCAAGGACCTGCTGCTCTACAAGATGTTGGGATTTTTGAAGCGCCCTGTGGTGGTGACAGCTGACATCAATTTGAATGTTGTGGTTCTGACTGCAGTGGGCTTACTGAGCCGCCTGTGGCAGCTTGCCTATCCAAGGGCTGTGGTGTAAGCCAGACAACCCCACTCAGGGCGAATCGGAAAGAATTGTAATTTGTTCATGTGTTGGTGACAGAAGGTGCCCTTCTGAACAGCAGAAGTGAGAGAGTGGAACTCGGTGATGGGTGTTTTGGGCAGAGGAGAGGCCAGTTTGTCCCCCAGGACAGCACATGCTGAGTCCACCTATCACATCTTGCCCTGTAGTTCTCTAGCAGGTGAAATCTGGCCCCTGAAACAGGTAGCAGCTGTAGGTAACCATTTAAAATCAAGGGTGGAGGATGGAGGATTGATGGATTTGGAAGTGAGTCGCCATTGGCCTTTGAGTGCGTTCTTCATTCTAAGGAGAGATGACTGCTGGTGGTATTACAGGGCCGTTCACTATCTGGTTAATACGTGTGTTCAAAAACGAACAAAAAAGCTTTTCACTGTGGAACACATTAAACGTACACAAAAGGAGGGAGAATAGTTTAACAACCCCCTCCCCAACCAATGTATTCATCACTCAGCTTCAGTGGATTTTTGGGGGGGCAAGTCATAATAAGCAGCATGTTTAAGTAATTTGGTGTATTTCTGAAAGATGAAAACTCTTAAAAACAAAAACTGATTTAACGTTAGCATGCCTAAGAAATTGACAGCAGTATTGACAGGATCCTTGAATGTCCCTGATTGTCTGAAAACATTTGTTGCCGTTGGTTTCTGCACATCTCCCTGTTAGCCCTGCACCTGGTTACCAGGTGTGATTCTGACTCTTAGTCACAGACGTAGCCCCAAGTCTCTGAGGCCTCTCAGTAGGTGCCTGCTAGCACGTCCCTAAATGAAACTGGGGAGGGTAAATAGAGTCTGTGTTGGGCAAACATCCTGAGTGTGTGACTGTTCTTGGTGAGTTTTCCCTCCTGTCCTTGTGGATGGATGATGCTGTGCACCTGTCTTAACATTTGGGGATGTAGTACAGTTGTGGCAGAAGCCCTGACCAAGGCTGAGCACTCTCTCACCTTGTTTGGAAACAGGTTAACGTTTACCCTGATAACCTGTGTTTGGTGAAGATTTCTAGTTGAATATCATGCGGGTTTGCTTTTCAGTTTCGATGAAGTGTATTACGGGCAGTACATCTCTTTCTACATGAAGCGGATCTTCTTTCTGGACGGCAGTGGGCCACCATTTGGCCACATGCTGCTGGCCTTAGGAGGTAGGATTCATGAGTAAGAGAAGTAACCCTTTAAAACTTATAAGTGAGGGGTGTCCGACTGGCTCAGTCGGTGGAGCACGACTCTTGATCTCGGGGTTGTGAGCTCAAGCCCCACGTTGGGTGTAAAGATTACTTAAAAATAAATTAATAAATAAAGCTTATTTGCAACACCTAAATAAATAAGTAAATAAATAAAATTGTGGCAATTTATTTAAAAGATAATAAAATTCGTAGGTGAAATATCTTGAGGGCAGAAACCATGTCTGATTATCATTGGTTCCCTATTGCTGCCAGCGTTTGGCACTCTCCCCAACTCTTGGCTGGGCGGGATAGTTACTGACTCGTCTTCTGTTTCAGGTTATTTAGGAGGATTCGATGGTAACTTTTTGTGGAACAGAATTGGAGCAGGTAAAAGGTCATTTTCACGTCCCTTGTGACATTGCACATGTTAGGATGGAGAGGGATCGGCTTTCATAGGGATTAACAACATGGTTTATTAATTTGCCCAGGGCATGATAAATTCGGCACAAGTGGAAGGCTTTTGAAAGGTCTGGTAGACATCTTAGCGCTTAATCATAGTCCTTGTTTTGTCCTTGGTTTTCGGTACACATAGCACAGCCTGTACTTGGCATCTGATCGCAGTTATCTTTTGTACATGTAAGTTTTGTCTGTTGGTTCAAATGTTTTTGGGAAAAGATGGGGTAGATTTATAAATAAGTAAAGCACTAACTACTTTCAGGATCATTAGGCATTGTTTCTGCGCTTGATGAGAGCTACGCTTTGACTGCGCACGGCCAGTGTCACAGCTTTTATCTGCAGCGTATGCACTCCATTCCTGACATGGTCCCTAGTTTTGCAAACTTGCATTTTAGGGTCTGTGAACACGACACTGTGTTTGAAAACACACCTGCAGTGCAGGAAGATGGTGCGTGCACCGTGTGCTCAGCTCTGCTGTGGTCGCTTTTCCAGAATACAGCAGCAACGTGCCCGTGTGGTCTTTGCGCCTGCTGCCGGCCCTCACCGGGGCCCTTCTGGTGCCCATGGCCTACCAGATCCTGCTGGAGCTCGGCTTTTCTCATTGCACCGCCACGGGGGCCGCTCTGCTGATGCTTATCGGTGAGACCCAGGCCTCCACCTGCTTCGGTGTCGCGCAGGGAAGAACCCAGCGCGGGCCTTGGATATGTCCCAATGTGCGGCCCAGGAGAGCTCGTGGGTTTCGTAGATGTGCCCCCTGCAGGGTCCCCTACTCCCAGGATGGAAGGAAGTGTGCCCACTTTGTCCAGATTTAACTCTGGGAGTCAGTCGCCCTCCTCCCAGGGTGTGGGGTGGCGGGACCATGTGGTCAGACTTGTGCAGCTGAATACATCCACGTACCATGGAGTTGGTATTCCTTCTGCCAATGAGAAAGATAGAGACTCAGAAAGGTTCGGTGACTTGCCCAGGGTCACACAGGTCTTGCTAGGCGTGATTCACACCTAAGAACTCACCTTCGCCGTTCTGGAGCCCGTCCCCTTCCAGCCACCCAATCGTGAACCTCCTGTGGCCACGTTCTGTGGCATTTAGAGGGTGTCCTTTCTGTGGGTGCTCCCATCTCCTTACGTTTGCCCCTGCTCCCTGGCAGCTGACTTACATGTCCTCTTTCTAACAGAGAATGCTCTCATCACTCAGTCAAGGCTCATGCTTTTGGAGTCAGTGTTAATATTTTTTAATCTGTTGGCTGTGCTGTCCTACCTGAAGTTCTCCAACTCCCAAAAACAGAGGTATGCAGAAGGGGACACGTCCTTCCTAGTTAATGAGAAAGAAGAGTCTGGGTGGTTTGTTGACCCGAGAAGGTCTGATGCCTTTTCATTTGGGGAAGCTGCTTGTGGACTGTCTTTCATCATTTAGACTGGCCCTTGGCTCCTGACTTCACAAATACATTCTCATTTTCAAATAATTTAAAAAATTTTTTTTAAAGATGATTTATTTGAGAGAGGGCAGAGTGAGCAAGAGAGTGCATGAGCAGGGGGAGGGGCAGAGGCAGAGGCTCCCCACGGATCAGGGAGCCCGATGCGGGACTCAATCCCAGGACCCTGGGATCATGACCTGAGCTGAAGGCAGACACTTCACCGACTGAGCCACCCAGGAGCCCCTCATTTTTATATAATTTAAACTAACTGGGAAAATGTTCTGGCCAAAAAGAAAAAAATTCTGCTGGGACTGAGATTTGGCAGACGGTTCATTTTTCTCATCGTGAAGCTTGGGACGGCCAGCCGACCCCAGAGGTCTGAGGAGTGCCCCTTCTTGGGCGATGTTCCGTGAACCGTGCCCAGCTTTGCTCTTCTGCTTTGACCCCAGGCCCTTCTCTCTGAGCTGGTGGTTTTGGCTGACGCTGACGGGAGTGGCCTGTTCCTGTGCGGTGGGGTGAGTCTGGTCCACGGGTCTCAGACAGCCTTGGCATCCTCCTCGTTCTGTGCCTCGTTGTAACGATTTCTCTTCGGGTCTTTTCAGTGTCAAATACGTAGGTGTTTGCACGTACCTGCTGGTGCTCGCAGTCGCCGGCGTCCATGCCTGGCACCTGATCGGAGACCGGACTCTGTCACACGTAGGTGCCGCTGTGGAGCGGGGCGAGCGGCCGTCCCCAGGGTGGGCGGAGGTCGGTGTTACACGAATGTCTGGGGAGAAAGGCTTCTCCAGAAGACGGGCCTTCGTGAGTGGGCCTCCCGCCAGTGGCCGTGGGGAGCCCAGAGCTCCGCTGGCCACTTCCTCGGGGCCTGCCTGTTTGGAGCAGGTGCACCTCCCCGAGCGGCAGGACGTGACCTGGCCATCTTGCGGCAGGTCCGTGTGCTCTGTCACCTGCTTGCCCGAGTGGCAGCACTGCTGGTCGTTCCGGCCCTCGTGTACTTGCTGTTCTTCTACGTCCACTTGATTCTGGTCTACCGCTCTGGGCCCCACGATCAGATCATGTCCAGTGCTTTCCAAGCCAGCCTGGAGGTAAGGAGGGGTGCCACGGCCGCCTCAGAGAGGAGATAGACTAGACTCAGCGTTTTCTTTTCTTTTTAAGATTTTATTTATTTATTTGAGAGAGAGTCAGAGCACAAGCAGGGGGAGTGGCAGAGGGAGAAGGAGGCTCCCCACTGAGCAAGGAGCCTGATGCAGGACTCCACCCCAGGACCCTGAGATCATGACCTGAGCCGAAGGCAGAGGCTTAACCAACTGAGCCACCCAGGCGCCCCTAGACTCAGAGTTTTCTTATGTAAACACTGTCAAGTGTTAGGGGGAAAACCAGATCAAGACGTAAAGAATCTGCTTTAGTATTTCTAAAGAAATTCTGCATGTGCGGATGGTGTGGAAATAGACGAAGGGGTCAGCTCTTCAGTGTGACCTGCCTGAGGACATGGTGAAGTCCTACAGACTCAGGAGAGGTGCACACGCATCACAGGACAAGCTCTAGTCTGGCATGCATTCCTACTGACTTTGCAGAGAATGTAAAACGTACTGATTGTGGTGGTGAGGACAGGAGAGTCAGATGGGACCCGTTCTTGAGTGCTGGCTCTGCTCACAGCTAGGCATACATGTTTGGGCAAGTTGCTTAGCTCATCCAAGTGCTAGTCTTCTCACCTTTTTTTTTTTTTTTTTTAAGATTTATTTATTTGAGGGGCGCCTGGGTGGCTCAGTCGTTAAGCGTCTGCCTTTGGCTCAGGTCATGATCCCGGGGTCCTGGGATCGAGTCCCGCATCGGGCTCCCTGCTCCACGGGAAGCCTGCTTCTCCCTCTCCCACTCCCCCTGCTTGTGTTCCTGCTCTCGCTGTGTCTCTCTCTGTCAAATAAATAAAGTCTTAAAAAAAAAAATTTTTATTTATTAGAGAGAGAGAACACGAGCAGGGACAGAGGGAGAGGGAGAAGCTCCAGCAGACTTCTCACTGAGTGCAGAGCCCATCTTGAGGCTCGATCCCAGGACCCTGAGATCATGACCTGAGCTGAAACCCGAGTCGGACACTTAACCCACTGAGCCACCCCGGTGCCCCATTCTTTTTTCTTTAAAGGTTTATTTATTTAAAGATTTTTTATTTATTTATTTGAGACAGAGAATGAGATAGAGCATGAGAGGGTCGGAGGGAGAAGCAGACTCCCTGCCGAGCAGGGAGCCCTATGTGGGACTCGATCCAGGGACTCCAGGATCATGACCTAAGCCGAAGGCAGTCGCTTAACCAACTGAGCCACCCAGGCACCCTGAAGGTTTATTTATTTATTTGAGAGAGTCTCACCTTTCAAATGGACAGGGTTGCCTTTCTCAGAAGATGCGTGTGGCAGCTAAGTGAGGGGGTGTGTGGAAGGACAGGAGAGTGCCTGGCCCCGGAGGCAGCATCGAGTTCCCTGTGTTAGGATTATATGACATAACCCGTGAGGAGTAGGTCCCATGTTCTCATAGCCAGTTCTGTGACATGATAATGACCGCCACCACCCCGAATACACACACACACCCCATGGAGGTGTGGCTGTCGAGAGGCTCTGTTTCTCATGTGCCACCTTTTGCTCTTTCTTAGGGAGGGCTAGCTCGGATCACGCAGGGCCAGCCCCTGGAGGTGGCCTACGGCTCACAGGTCACTCTGAAGAATGTCTTTGGCAAACCCGTGCCCTGCTGGCTTCATTCCCACCAGAGCACCTACCCCATGATGTAAGGAAAGCGACCATGTAAATCGAAGGTCATAACATGTTCGGTTTTTTCACATTTTTGCTGTCACCAGCTTTCGCTGTAAATGAAATTTCTGAGAAAGCCGTGGAGCTCTCAGATTCTGATTATCAACGGATCTTGTCATTTCTGTGTATGAAACAGAGGGTCTTGGGGAGCAGAGGGCCCGGGCTCTGCCATGTCTGCTGCATCACTTGCACGCTGGGCACGTCCTCCAGCCCCTCTGAGACCCACACTTGCACCTTGGTTTCACCCGGACACCTTGCCGGGTGGTGTGTGCAGGAACCTCGAGAGAACGGCTGATTGCGGCCCCTGGCCAACGCGTTGTTGTGTTGGTTCCTTCATGCAGATATGAGAACGGCCGCGGCAGCTCACACCAGCAGCAGGTGACCTGTTACCCCTTCAAAGACGTCAACAACTGGTGGATCGTGAAGGATCCCGGGAGGTGTGTGCGGGTCCTGGGACTCCAGAGTGGGGCTGGCCTCGTGGCCCCCTCTCCGTGGACGCGTCCTCCCTTGGGGCTTCAAGAGCAGCTCCGTGCTGATGAGCCCGCGGGCAGGGCGTTGGACGCTTCCTCAGGGAACTGCCCACCCCGTGTCTCCCCCGGGTGCTCCACAAACTCTTCTCTACCAGCGCTCCCTGCACCCCCCGAGGGAGTCCCTTGCTCAGGCCTCACCGACGGAGGACTCCCTTGTCCGCCTCCCCCGTCTGGTCTGGCAGCCCGTCTGTGGCCTCCACCTGCGAAGGAGGTCTCGAGCCATCCTGGCCTCCATCTCTACCCCCTGCCGCCTCCCCCAACGCTCTCCTCCCACTCCGGTTTCTGCAGCTCTGCGTGTCTTTTAAAATGTCCCTCATGGCAGGTCACAGTCGTGCTGAAACCCTAGCCTCCGTTGCCCCTCCAGTGCCATCCAGTGCCACCCAGACCCCTGGCGGTGGCCTGCAGCTCCCGGCCTCCTTCCCGCCCCGCGGCTGGCCGGCCGCTCACAGCACCCACCCTGTGCTGTCACCAGGCTGGACCGATCCTACCCAGCTGGCTCCTTCTTAAAACCCGAATGTCAGCTCCTGTGGGAGGCTGCCTTGGCCGCTGTCCTCCCGTCCGGGCGTGTCGGCTTCCCTGTACCCGTCGTGTCACAACCGCGGGCTGCGGCTGGGTTTGGCACTTGTGTGGCCGCGTAAGGCGGCAGCCCGGGTCTGGCTGCTCCCCCACGCTCGCCACCACCCTGGGGGCCCTCGGTGCGCATGCGTGGACCCGGGAGGCCCCGTGTCCAGCCGGCCGGCTCTCTGTCTCCGCAGGCATCAGCTGGTGGTGAGTAACCCCCCGAGGCCCGTGCGGCACGGGGACGTGGTGCAGCTGGTGCACGGCATGACCACCCGCTTCCTCAACACGTGAGTGCCCGCCCTTGGCCCTCTCCGCTCCTCTCGGGAGCCCGGGCCCTCTGCTCCCCAAGACCCTCTGTTTCATACACAGAGATGACAAGATCCGTTGAGTGTCCGCCGGGGGTTCTCTGTCCCGAGCAAAGCCCGCCCACTGTCCCCACGGCTGGCTCTGGCTCCCTCGGGGTGGACCCGCACTGCGCTGTAGCCTGCGCTCGGTGTTGGGAGGGGCCCCCCAGTGACGGCAGTGCAGGGAGGGGCGGGAGGGAAACGGAGCCTTCGCGGGGTAGCCCACAACCCCGGGGCCGCCCCGGACGGTAGCCGCAGCGGGAGGTCGTGGCGGGGGAGCTTTGAAAGACAAGTTAGGGAGGGCTTCCCACACAGAATGAAGTGTGGGCTCTTCCATAGAGTTAAATGGCTTAAAGTGCGTGTGAATTCAAGAAGGATTGAAATCCCGGCTACGTAGGGTCCGGAAGGGTCCGTGTGTGTCGGTGTTTGGCCCTTGACTGACTTGACCTGAGCAGTCTCTGCAAACTGATGTGCCCGGCCTCCTCTCTTCCGACCTCCACCCAGCTTCTTGGGTCATCTCGTGGCTCCTCATGCCTCCCAAATTGTGCCTCGAGTCCCCACTTCCCCCCCAAAAACCACACTGCAGGCTCCTGGGCTCTGGCCTGCTTCTCCCTGCAAAGAGCCGTTTGCTCAGCCACCACCCTGGCTGCTTCTCTTTCTTCCTTCCGCTCCTGCCATGACCCAGTCCGGGCCTGATCCCTGTGCTGGCAGGGCTGGTGCCCCAACCTCCTGCCTTCCTGCCCCCCACGCCCCCACAGCAGCGCCTTGTGAGCGCGCACCATCTATGGGCCTGGTCTCGCTTCTTGGCCAGAAGCCCTCCAGCGACTCCCACCGTGTGGCCGTCACACTCAGAATAACGTCTCCACTTCCCCAGTCCCTTGGGATCCTGCCCCTGGTGACCCCTGGGGAGCTTCACTGCGGTCCCCCTGGCCTCCCTGCTGTCCCCAGACAACCAAGTGCAGCATCCTTAGGGCCTTTACACCTGCTCCGTCTGCCTGGAATGTTGTTGGACTCACATCCCGCCGTGGCCCACTCGCTGTAGTCACGTGTCAGCTGAAATGTCACCTCCTCAAAGCCTTTCCCGGGCACTCCCTACTGTCTTGGTTTTATTGGTAGCGCCCCACAGCCTGGCACTCTTGTCCGTGCACGTGAAGGCCTGCCTTCTCTGGGGTGAGGACTGTCTCCAGCTCCCCTGGAGCGCCCGGCACAAAGTAGGATAAAGTGTGACAGCCACGTGAAGGAGGGAGGTGGGTGTTTCTGGACGTTTGAGGTCGCCGTCCCCGAGGGCACCTTGTCCCCCAACAGCATTCCTAGTCCCACCATTTCCAAGGCCCGGGGTGCGTCGTCCTGCTCCTGGGACAGCGAGCACCTCCCTGAGACCAGCTTTGCCGTCCGTGGCGGAGTGGCGATGCCCAAACGGCGTGGAGTGCCGGCCGTCAGACCCCACATCATGTGACTTTTCCCCAGAGGTGTGATCCCTGGGGAGCGGCTGCCGTTGAGTGTCTCGTTTATCCGCACGCCCTCAGCTGGCACCGCCTCGGGGCCCGGGTGCTCCTTGCAGGCTGCGCCAGCTTTGTTTCTGAGAGTGGTTTTCTTCGCTTCACGGCGTAGTGATCGGCAGGGTGAGGCGCTCCCTCCACAGGACTGTTTGGTTTTCCAGGCACGACGTGGCTGCGCCCCTGAGCCCCCACTCGCAGGAGGTCTCCTGTTACGTCGACTACAACATCTCCATGCCCTCCCAGAACCTCTGGAGACTGGTGAGTCCCCCGCGGGAACCCCTCAATGGCCACCAGGAATGCGTCCTTTCTGACGCGAGACATTCAAAACCGCCCTTTAGAATAACTGTGACTCAGATGTAAAATCAGTGATTTTTAGTCCTAAAAGAAGCCCCAGATGTTTTCGCGGGGGACGGAGACTTCCTCTGCGGGAGGGACGAGCTTGCGGAGCAGTTGGTCGGTGCTCCGTGCTGCCGTGTGGCTCTCGGGGCTGCCAGGTGAAGCTTTCCTCAGACTTGGCGGCCCCTGCAGCCTCGAGACCAGGCCAGGGAATGCACAGGGCCGGGCACGGCCACCCTCCCTCCGCCACAGGAGCCTCCGTCCTTGAGCCTCTCCTGGCGTGAGCGAACACCCTGGTCACAGGGCTTCCCTGGGGACGGCTGCAGCTCTGGCCGGGGTGGCGGTTCCTTGCAGGGGTCCTCTCCTGAGGCAGCCGGGCCTCTGAGCATCGGGGGGCACATGCTGCGCCCCGCCCCCCAAGTCCCTCTCCGGGGCTGCACACGGCGTACGGGGAAAGGTGGCAGGAAGAGAGAGTTGTGTTCTGGGCCCTTGCGCCGCTGTGAGTTGAAGGACGTGTGCAAATACAGCTTCAGTCTGCTGTGCACACTAGCGCCCTGGCTGGGGTCTCTCCGGGCTGCCCCAGAGCACCAATCTCCCCCCCCGCCCCCATTCTGGTCTCACGGGCGTGACTGGCACGGCATGCTTGGTGCAGTGCCACCAGCAGGCCCTCCCCGCAGAGCCAAGGGCTGCAAGGCTGCCTTCGTGCGTGTGCGCACGTGTGCGTGTATGTGCGTGTGTGCGTGTGCGTGCATATGTGTGCGTGCATGTATATGTGCGCGCGTGTGCACGCGTGCATGTGCTGTGTGTGCGCGCGTGTGTGTGTGCTGTGTGCGCATGTGCACACGTGCAGCAGCGACCCCCCCACCGCCGCCGCCGCCGCCGCCGCCGCCGCCTCGGTGCTCACGCACGTGTCCGTTCTGCTTCTCCCCCCTCTCCTCGCTGTTGCCGCGGGGTGGGCGTGCTCTCCACCCAGGCCCCGTCCCCGGGAGCTCTCCCAGTGGAACTCCTCCCGAGGCTGTCCTTCTGCCACCCTGCTGACGGCTTGCCGGTCCTCGTCCTGCTCTGTCCCTGCCGGCGGCATCTTCACCCCCACACGCGCACATTTCCAGGGACTGCAGCTCACGGAGCAAGGAGGGAGGATGGCTGACGCAGGCTGTGCCTGTCGGCCCAGCCTCCCCCCTGCTCCCACGGAGCCCTTGGGTCTCCTGGCTCCCGCCAACAGCCACACGCCCTCACGGGTCATCGTGGGGCTGCGATAAGATAAGACAAGGCCAAGTGCGCTCACGATGTTCCTGTTTCCGTTACCCACCATCAGCCGGGCCACCCAGGACACCTCCCAGGGACCTTCTGTAACCCTCACCTGGACCATCTCTGCATTTGCCAGAGAGAGAAGGCCAAGCGCGGAGGCCTCTCGACTCTGAAGGAGGGTGGTGTGCTCCCCTGCCCAGCCAGCAGCTTGCTGCGTGGGTGTCGGGAACAAGGTCAGGGGCGCTAGCCTGTTAGCTCCCGGAGCTCGGCCCCTGGTCTCAGACAGTGTCGTTGTTTGGTGACCGGTCCTCACTTGACATGTCAGGAAATTGGGGAAAGAACGAGATCATCGATAGGACCTGCTTTTAACAGGACATCGTAAACCGAGAATCCGACACGGAGGTTTGGAAGACCATCTTGTCAGAGATTCGCCTGGTGCACGTGAACACCTCCGCGGTTCTGAAGGTAAAGGGGCGCCGTGTTTGGCTCGCCCATCCTGGCTGGGGGCTCACGACATCGGTTTACTGGACCCTCCGGGCTCAGCGGGTTCTTCGCGGGCAGGACATCCGGGGAAAGCCTTTGCCGTGTTTCCCTCACACGGAAGGGCGAGGGCTCCAGCTTCTCAGACTGGATCCTGATGGGCGGGCCCGTGGAGGACCGGCTGCCGCCCTTGTCGGCTGCGGACAGAGGGACCGGGTGGCGGGGCCGGTGGGGGTGAGCCGGGGCCCCGGGCCTCCGCATCACGCCCCGTCTCCCCCGGTTTCGCTAGCTGAGCGGGGCCCACCTCCCGGACTGGGGGTTCCGCCAGCTGGAGGTCGTTGGGGAGAAGCTGTCCCGCGGCTACCACGAGAGCATGGTGTGGAACGTGGAGGAGCACCGATACGGCAAGAGTGAGTCAGGCCCTTGGCTTCCGTTGCTGCCGCTTTCACGAGCCACAGGCTCCTGCTTCACGCGGGGACTGGACGCGCCGTCCACGCACTCTGCTGAGCCGAGCCCTAGACGAGCCAGCTGTGCTCTGAGGTTCCGCCCAAAGGCGGTGCAAGCTGAGCTTTCTGAGTGGAAAGATCTGGATTTGACCGGGGCTAATCGCAGCTGGTGGGGAAAGCCAGATGGAGCGCGACACAGTGGGTTGTTTGAAAAGCGGGACGTGGGGTTTCTCCAAGCTGACAGCTTCTGTGCTGAGCCCCCTGACCTGCGCGTGTTCCCTTGGGTCCGTGTGTCCGGTCAGGCCAGGAGCAGAAGGAGAGGGAGCTCGAGCTGCACTCACCCGCGCAGATGGACGTCAGCAGAAACCTGAGCTTCATGGCCAGGTTCTTGGAGCTGCAGGTGACCGGCGGGGGCGGCATGGCTCTGCCTGGGGGTGCCGGCTCCCCACCAGACAGCAGTTCCCTTCCCGTCGTCGGCTTTAACTGGGACCTGGCTGAGCAGGGGACGCTCCTCTCTGTCTGCTCTGCGTGGCCGACGCCGCACGGTCAGCCCCGGGCCTGTGGCTTTGCGGGCAGGAGTGGTCAGGAACCAGGCGGTGTCGACTTGCCGCGTGGCCAGAATATGCTTGGGGCCCCCCAGGTCAGGTCAGGGTGCGCCAAGGTCAACGTGATGGAGCCCCAGAGAGGTCAGAACAGGAAGCTCGGGGTCCCGAACCTCAAAGCGCCCTTAGCACCAAGTTCAATCCCTTCCCCCTGCAGACAGGGGCACGGGGGCCCTGGGGTGGAGTCCCTGTCCCCGCCTGTGCTGCATGGTCCAGATGAACGTGAAGGGGACACCCCAGCCCCTCAGGCCCCTGAGCGAGGACGGTGTCTGGCTGTGTGCTCGACTCCAGCCTCTGGCCTTCTTGCAGTGGAGGATGCTGACGGTGAGGAGCGACGACTCAGAGCACAAGTACAGCTCCTCGCCGCTGGACTGGATCACCCTGGACACCAGCATCGCCTACTGGCTGCACCCCAGGACCAGTGTAAGCAGGCGCTCGTGTGGGCGGCAGGCGGAGCGCTTGCTCGAGGCTTCTCTGGCATGAAGAGCAGCCGCCACCTCCTACCCAGCCCTAGCTTGGTCCGGGCCCTTCCTGATGAGATTGGGCAGCACGGGGCCAGTACGCGGGTCAGATATGAGGGGAGAGGTTCACGCGCGTCAGATATGAGGGGAGAGGTTCGTCCTCAGTGGGTGGCGTCATTAAAGCGAGAACGTCGGCCTCTCTGGGTTGCGTTTCCGTTTGTAGAACCAAGGACCCTACTCAGCCCTTTTCCCAGAGCAGTGGGTGGGCTGGGTTCCAGCCCGTTTGGGCTGCAGGCTGGCGGGCACGCGGCCGGTGGCTGACGGGGTCCCCTGTGCCCTCACAGGCTCAGATCCACCTGCTTGGGAACGTCGTGATCTGGGCTTCGGCCAGCCTCGCCACGCTGGTCTACGCTCTCCTCTTCTTGTGGTACTTGCTTAGACGTCGAAGGAGTATCCGTGACCTCCCTGAAGGTTAGTGCAGCTTCTGACAAGGGCTTGTGGTGCTTCCGGCAACAGCCTGGCCTCACCAGGAACTTGTGCCTTAAGGCGATCTCCTTGTTTCTGTTGGGAGCGAGCTTAAATCTATTTTTTGTCTCCCTAGAGACGAAGTCTTGCCGTTGAGTTCCCACATTGGGTTAGACGCTTGTCCAGGGAAATGCAGGCACCAGGCAGGCAAAGCCCTCACCCCAGGACGTGAGCACGGGGGGGGGCTGGGTGGCACAGAGTGGCCAGCAGGCACCCAGTTACTCCGGTGCTGCTGTTTGCAGAACAGAAACCACAGGGGACCACCTTGAAACAGACGAATAAAGACCCAGGGCAGGGCGGGGCCCCGAAGGCCTCAGCAGTGTGGCACCCTCCCACTCTTCCTGCTGACGCTGCCCCTGTGGGCAGGGCGGGGGCCCAGTACAGTCCCTCGGAGCTCGGGCTCCCAGGAGGCCGGCCCACTTGCTGCTGATCCCGGAGGAGGAGCCGGGGGCCCCCGGGGGGCGCTGGTATGGCTCAGAGGGTCGGGATGGTGAGGACCCTGCAGGAGGCTACAGGAGGTTCTCACAAGGTCGTTCTTTCTCCAGAGATCACGGCAAGGGTCGGGCAGTGGGGGAAGGGGAGAGCGTGTGTTCCTTAAAGATGAGGAAAGCAGCTCGTGGGACTGGGGGAGAGCCTTACAAGTGAGGCCCGGGTCAGCAGCGCTGGCTCAGGGCGGCCTTCCCCCCACCCCACCCCAGATTCCTGGCTGCGCTGGGTGCTGGCCGGGGCTCTGTGCGCCGGCGGCTGGGCGGTGAACTATCTCCCCTTCTTCCTGATGGAGAAGACGCTCTTCCTCTACCACTACCTTCCCGCGCTCACCTTCCAGATCCTCCTGCTCCCCGTGGTCCTGCAGCACATCAGCGACCACCTGTGCAGGTACAGGGCCTCCGCAGCCACGCCTCCCGGGGCTCCAGGTCTGGGGGTGTCGTGAGGACTTGGGTGTGCCGTGGGAGGGGTTAACAGGCGCCCCAGGAGGGAGGTGTGGCTGGCCGGGGAGGCCGGGAGAAGTGTGGGTGTGGGAGACGGGGAAGGACGCTTCTGGCTCCAGAACAGCCAGTGGTGTGGGCCGGGTCGCGTGGTGTGCAGTGGAGATGAACCAGAGCGAGTTCTGGAAGCGGGACCAGAGGGTGTGGACCTGGTATTTTGGGAGGAGCCGCACAGCCTCTCAGAAGAGCTGTGGTCCCATCATGCTGGGTGTGGGGATGCTGCCCTGGTGCCAGTGTAGATGGGAGAGTCTGGAGGATGCACGAGGGGTCCCGTTCGGCGCCTGGGCAGGGTGTGAGGGGGCCATGTGCTCATGACGGCAAGGAAGAGCCTCGTCCCCCATGCCTGTGCTCCGGTCCCCGCAGGTCCCCGCTTCTGAGGAGCCTCTTCAGCGGCCTGGTCGTGGCCTGGTACTCCTGCGCCTGTCACGTGTTCAACACGCTGCGCCCGCTCACCTACGGGGACAGGTCACTCTCGCCCAGCGAACTCAAGGCCCTTCGCTGGAAAGACAGCTGGGACATTTTGATCCGAAAATACTAGCAGGACACACACCGTGAACGTTTGGGCCGGGGTCAGGGCAGGAAGCGCGGTTATCTCGAACCGAGTTTGTCTTTGACAGAGTAGCCTGAAGCTTGGCCGCCTGGCCAGGCTGCTGGGCTTTTTCTTCAGACAGTCGCTGATAAGCAGTTTGTTTTGAGCCAAGTTTGTGTTTTCCAGGCAATAGAGAACATGCCCTGAGTGTCCCCCGGCGCCCGAGGGCCCCCGAACTAGGACATGCTGAGTGGCTAGGGCAGGCCTTGCAATGGGGCAAGAGCAGGAGGGGAGCAGGCAGTGATGGGGTGAGTTAGGGACGAAGCAGCCAAGGCCCTGGTCCCCTCTCCCGAGCGCCCGCTGACCTGGGGAGCCACGTCCCTGGTGAGGCCTCGAGGAACCGGCCTGCATCACTTCAGCGCCAAACAAGCTACCAAATGACAGGCCCTTGATTCTCGTCACCGCAGTGAAGACCCCGGGACCCCTCGCCGCTGCTGACGCGGTGGGGGCAGACGAGCCAGCAGCCCCAGCAGGTTGAGACTCGTGTCACCCACACGTAACCCCGTCCCGAACCTGCCCTCTGTGTACAATTAAAACAGGGACACGTTGGCACTGGTATTTGGTGTTATTTATTGATTCTCCAAAGGGCACAGTAAGCTGATGAGACTGTCACACGGCCATCAGAAAGCAGCCGCGGCTACGCGCTCGTGAGGTCCCAGCTGTGTAACTAGACTCGGGGCCCGAAAGCAGGAGACGGCGGGTGCCCATGCGGCTTGGACGGCGGCAAGGGGAAAGCGTCCTTTCGACACAAACAGGGTCTCGTGGGAGGGAAGACAAAATGAGGACGACACCGGTCGCAGGCATCGTGCGTGCAGCCGGGGATGCTGGGTGTGTGCAAGGAGACCGGCTGGCGTCGGGCGCTGTGCCCTGTCCACACGGCGCCCAGGACCCAGGGTACAGGGCGCGCGCCAGCCTGCCTTCCGCCCCAGCCGCGGAGCCGGGCTTGGCCTGGGCGGGCAGGTGCTGCCCTGTGTTTGCTGCTGGTTGAGGAAAGGCTCGTTGCGGGGGCTCCTTCCCTGGCGCACAGCCCAGGAGGAAGGAAAGCTCTCTGTGGCTCCGTACGCGCGGGTGTGCTGTGCTGGATCGCACCCACCGGCGGGGCACGAAACTCGCTTCCTGGGTCACCACTCACGTGGGAGAATGACAGAACGTTCGCACGTGTAACACACAGAAAGGGGACGTACTCTCCTCAAACCTCTGTTTCAGTCGCATGTGTGTGGGAACTGGGTCGTCCTGGAAGAGTCGCTCTCGCTGTGGGTTCCTGTCAAGCACATGCTGGGACGGCCACCACACCCAGGCCGCGTGCTCCGCGTTCCCAAGAGACGTGACTGGCTCACCACACGTTCTGGGGCATTTCTCAGTAACTCAGACTTTTAACCCTCTAACTTGACGAGGCAGGTACAAATGTCGGGAGGGCGTGCCAACAGCCAGTTGAGTGTAACAGGTGCCGTGATCCCCATCCCATCCCGTCTGTACAGCGCCCAGAGGAAGCAGCGGTGGCGTTCATAGGGGCGGGTGGGCATCTCTGGGCCCGACCCTGAACACTGTCGGGGGTCCTGCCCAGGAGGCTGAGCACCCCGCTCCTCAGTGGGGTCTGCTGCTGGACTCCAAGTGCGATCGCTTGCCAGAGGTCAGCACCCCGGGATGGTCTCCCGGCTCAGGAAATGTCCTCTTGTAGCTCCGCCCATTGGACCCTCGGTGCCATTTGCAGAGGTCGCCGCTCAGGATGTCCTGGATGTGCTGCACGATCAGGTTGATGGCCACTGTGGCAAAGACAGCATGCACTCAGCCCGTCTGGTTCCCCCTGGACGCCTCGAGGCCAGGCTCCATCTGCTGCTGGCTCCCTGGGCCACCCCGTCCCGCAGCGGCTCGGGGCCGGAACGCAGGCCCTCCCGCCGAGGCTTCGCCGGGCCTCGGCAGACAGAATACCGTGGGTCAGGGAGGGCGCACGGTAAAACGGCCCAGCCTGGTCCGCGGCCCTTTCCATTCACCAAGAACCCGGGGAAGACACTTCCTGCTAACGAGCGAGTCCCTGTCAACGTAAGTCTCCTTCTCCAGCCTCACTGACCCGTAACTGACAAACAGGAGGGGTCCATTTAAGCTGTCCAACGTGTTAAACATTTTTAAAATATTCTTTGGACCTTGCCATGAGCGGACGCGGACGGCAAACCCTCATCACTCAGCGTAACCGCCAGGACAGGGCCCCGGGAGGCGGACTGAGGAGTCGGGGCAGCGACAGGCCCAGTTCTTACCCATGTTGTCGACCCCTCGAGGGATTATCACGTCCGCATACTTCTTGGTCTGCAAGGCAAAAAGCAGGATCTCAGATGATCTGCCCCCACCCTTCCCCCGGGACTTCTGGTTGTTGGACACGAGACTCCACGGCAGGACAGCAGCCCTGGGGGTGGCAGGGACTGGTGTGGTGGCAGACGGGGGGCCAGGACTCAAGTGTTAGGCAGGTGCGAGAGGCAGGAGGAGAAGCTGAGGCAGCCAGAAGACAAGTGTTTCTCCCCCAGCGTCTCTGAAATGCGCTTGCGCTTTCCTGGGAAGGCCGCTGTGGGAACAGTTCTCTGTGCTAACACTTCACTGAGCCAAGTGACCTGCGGCATCCATCGTCACATGTGACCCTCTTCCCCCGAACTAGGACCCTTTCTGCGGGAAGCCCGGAGCAGGGAGCAGGCCGGGTCGCGGCATACTCCCCGGATGGCGTGTGCAAAGCCCTCTGCACCTCCTGCCCCCGCGCGGCGGCGCTGCCAGGTAAGGGCAGGGATAGAGACACCAGGAGGAACAGGGCCGCCGAGGGGGGACCCCAGCCAGATGTTGCTGAGGGGGACACGGCTCAATCAGGCCAAGCAGGAGGAGAGGAAAAGGAAGCGGTCTGAGCTGAGGGACAGACCCGCGGACCAGTCCGTGTGGCGGGCGTGTGGACATGGGCCAGATCCTGGGGCAGCTGTGTCTGCATGCAGTGGGGACCCACGGAAGCCACGAGCACAAGATGGCCAGGCTGGCTTCATGGGGGGTGCTCGCCGGTGGGGTGCAGAGAGGGGTCGGCAAGGGGCAGGAGAGTTGAGGAAGGTCGTACTTCAGGGACCAGGGAGGAACACGGTCACCCTGGCCGGACTCGGTGTGTGGCTGCACGTAAAGGGATCGGGAAGTTCAAGGACAGTGCTGGGACGCAGGCTCCACACAGGGTCACCCGGTGGGACTGGGTGTCCCGAGTTTTACCGTAAACCACCTGCTCTGCCAGATGTCTTTCTTTCCATGAATAACAGAGAGAGTACAATTATCAATTTACTTTTCTCATCGCTTTCCAGACACTTCGGAGAACATGAATGTAAAATAAAAAATGTTCTCTTCCAACTGCAGCAGATCGCACTCACGTGTCTACTCAACAGAAGCGGGGATCCTGGCTCCATTTCCTTTGTGCTGTATTTTACTTTTAAGAAGCAACATGTTAAGTTTCCCTTTCAAACCACCTGTAAGTCCTATCCTGTAAGAGCTGGAAAGTAGAGGGCAAGACACACGGCCGCAGACCCCCGAGTCCCAGCCAAGGACAGCCTGGAGGAACAGATGGTGTGGGGGGTCAGCAAGCGCCTGTGCCGCGCCTGCGTGAGTCGGGGTGTGGGCCAGGGACGGACACGAGCCCCTGCCCCTGTGCAGCTCCCTATTCCGAGGGCGGCAAGCAAGGCACAGCGAGTTCAGCCAGCCAGAGGCACCCTGGAGAATGGAAAGCAGGCGGGCCAGGAGCAGAGGGTCCTCGGGGTGACCCTGGGCGGGCCACGCAGGTGCCGTGGGGAAAGGCCTGAAGCAGGGAGGAGGGGAGCTGCGTGGACGTGGGGGCCGAGGGGCTTTTCCAGGCAGAGGAAGGGATATGCACAGACAATGCTTTTAGAGCAGACAACGAGTCCCTGCGAGGGGGTATGATAAGCTAACTTCTCTGTTCAGAAATCAGACCCCACTGCTCCACGATTTGGCTCTCACAGGACAGGGTGCCAAGGGTTCTCTTGAAAAGGGAGAAAAGGAGGTCCCCAAGTAAGCAGAAGGGGTACCGGCAGGCAGAACTCCTCGAAGGCTGGTTTGACGAAGGTGGTGTACTGGGTCAGGATCTGCTCCAGGTCCCTCCCGCGGTGCACGTCCCGGAGAACTGAGGCGGGAGGAGCAAGGCGGTCAGGACTCGCGGCCGCCCTCGGCCAAGGGCAGAGGGAGGCCCGAGTCCACCTTACCTCTTCTTGACAGCCTGACGTCGGAGTCCGTGTCCACAAAGAGGCGCAGGTGGAACATGTCCCGGACCTCCTGGCTATAGAACACCAGGATGCCCTCGAACAGGACCACGTCTGCAGGGTAGACTACCGTGGTCTCTGCTAACCTGGGAGGCGAGACCAGGAGACGGACCCCGCTGGAGCTACGGGATCTGGGGGCCTGGAGCACAGTTGGCTCCGGTCCCCAGGTGTGGACCGTGTGGAGGGGGACAGATCACAGCAGGGGACAGGGGTGTGCCCAGACACCAACAGGGCCAGGCTGCTGCAGGGCACATGCTAGCTGGCCCCCCGCACACGGTCCCTCTCCCAGGAACCACCTTGCTCACCTTGAATGGGTCACAAAATCATAGGTTGGGACCTCGACAGTTCTGCCCTCCACGATGTTTTTTAGAGTCCTGTGCATCAAATCGTTATCAAAAGCATCTGCAGGAATGGAACGGAACAGAAGGCAAGACTATCCAGGTGTCCTCGTGCTGGGGATGGGAGTGAACTTCCTTTGCCTTGGGGGCGGGCAGCCACAGCCCCGCCCAGGAACATGTGGACTAGGGGCCGCCCCTACAGTTTACAGTTGCAGACTGCTGTCCCACACAGAAGTTTGGCCCCAGGGATCTCCTGATCGGCCAGCACTGGGACACAGGTGGGTTAGGCATCTGCTTCTATTTCTGGGAAATACCCACCGACTCATGCTCCTCAGGCCTTCTTCCCACGTGTCCCCTCCTTCCCACGTGGGAGCCAGCCACAGGGTGGAGCCTTCTAGCAGTGCCAGGCAAGGGCAGGCTGGCTCTTTCCCCTCATCTGTCTATCCCATTTGCACCTGCCCCCCGATCAGACCAGACCAGACACGGCCCTCTTGTGTACCCACTGCTTCCCCTGCTAGCCTCCCAAGGACTTTGCCCCAGGGCAGGCGGGGACCCCAAACAGCAGGAAGGTGGGGGGATTTCTCCATGAGCACAGTCCTGGCAGAGCAGTGGTCCCCAAGGCTCCTCCGCAGCAAAGACTTCCTGACTGGCTCCCAACGGAGGGAGCCAGCAGCTCCTGCAGGGCCGCTCAGGGCGCAGAGAAGGAGGCAAAGTGCTTTCTGACGTAATCACACAGCCCGCTCCAGCTCAGGCTACCTCAGAAATTTCACTGATCCACTGGGGTCTCTCTGCATCGCCCGCCAACCCTGGAGCCAGTCCCCTTGTCTGTCCTCCTCCCCCACCCCCCTCAGGGTCTTCAGCTGCACCTGGGTGGTCGAAATTGTACTGTCCCTTCAGTGCCTTGGCCTTCTGTTCTGGGGTCAGGACCTTGTAGAACCTGTCCTGACTCAGGATGACCAGCTTGCGCTGCCGGTGGTCCACTTCGTTCTGGCCCAGCAGCTCCATGATCTTCTCACACACAGTGGACTGGGAATACACAAACAGGATTCCCGCCTGGACGTGCGCCTCCTGCCACGGAGCTGGCCTCTGGAGACACTGGCCCGCCAGCCCCCAGGGGCCGCCGAGCAGACCAGCGACAGGTGAGGCTGGCCTCCGGGGAGCGCCGCGGGGCACCGGGAGGGGCAGCACGCACCGGGGGCCCGGAGGAACGAGGCCAGCGGGGAGGCCGGGCAGAGCCCGAGGGCAAGCGCCCCTCGCCCTGCCTGCACCCCGGCCCCGCCCCGGCCCCCCACGGCCGCAGCCCCTCGCCCCTCCGCGTCCGCCCTGCAGGGGACGCCTCGGCAGCCAGGAGCCCAGGCTGTCGTCCCCGGCTGGAGGCCGGATCGGTCCGCCCCGTGTCCCAGGGGGCCGGGGTCGAGGTGGCACGCAGGCCCCGGCGGGCTGCCCAGCCCCTTACCTTCCCGCTCGCGGTGCCGCCGCTCACCCCGATCAGGAAGGGCCGCTGGTGAGGACGGTCCGCCTCCGGCGCGGCGCCCTCGCAGTCGCCGCCTCCAGCCGAAGCCATCCCAGGCGCTGCCGGCGGGCATCGGGCTCCGAGCTCCCAGCTCCCAGCTCCCGCCGCCTCCCCGAACCAGCCGGCCCTCCCACCGCCGCGCAAAGGTCGGAGACGCCCCCCGGGGTCCCATTTCCGGCAGGCGCGCGGCGTGGCGGGGGAGGGGCGATGGGAGCGCGCGAGGCGCGGCGGGAGTTGTAGTCCTAGGCGACGGAGGGCGCTGCGCCTGCGTGGGGCGGGGCGGCTCACCTGCGGCTGGGTTGCCCACAGCCCGGGGTGCTGCGGGTTTGCTGCAAAGGACGAAAGCCGCTCAGTGGCGCAGCTGGCTGCAGGAGTCCCCAGACGCCGGGCGGCCTCCCCAGCAGAGGCGGTGACCGCGAAAGTTCCCTCCGTCCGCGCCTCCAGTGCCTGGGGGCGTCGGGGATGATCCCACCCGGAGACTGCGGGGCTGGGGGAGGGGGGCAAGGGTAGCGCCAGGGCCGGCAAGTCAGCCCCCCGCAGCCGGTGCTCCACGGGGGCCATCGGAGTTTCCTAACGTTGCCCTGATCGTGCCGCTGGTCCCCCCACCCCCGCCTTCAGAGGTTCCCCACTGCCCTGCAGCAAGTGTCGCCTCCTCAACCTTCCCAGCACGTGGTGGTGACAGTGATGACTTTCGACTCCAGCATTAGGCAGGCTGTGAGCCAAGGAAGCCGAGACGGAGTCGGCTGGGTACCCCTGAACCCCCGGTGCCTGGCACAGAGAAGGCAAATGCTGATCGATTCTAATTGTGTATTTCCCCCACGGCATCAGGACTATCTCTGTGGATGGAGCTCCTAATGCACTGTGAGCCCCACATGAATATTTGATGAGGTATGAAGCCCGAGAGACTACAGTAACACGCAGACAGCAGGCAAAGTCGCTGTTTATGTAACTTCAGAAGCACTAACCCATCTCAGGAGGGGTTACAGGCAGCTTCTGCTGTGGGGGCGGGGGGGTGCACGGGGCCTGGGACCTCCTGAGCTCTGTGACCTGGACAGACTGAAGCTGATGAAGGGACATGAGAGGAACTTACGCAGGAGCTTAAAACCGGGAGGACCCTGCTCCTGCTCACAGTGAGCCGAGCGGGGTTAGGAGCCAGGCTCCGGGCTGAGAGAGTGGTCAAGCCTTGCCTCTGCTGAGTGACCTCTGGCAGTTATGTGATTCCTCTGCATTTCCTTTCTCCCCAAATGGGGCAATGCTATAAGTTTTTTATTTATTTATTTATTTTTAAGATTTTTATTTATTTATTTGACAGAGAGAGACAGCGAGAGAGAGAACACAAGCAGGGGGAGAAGGAGAGGGAGAAGCAGGCTTCCTGCGGAGCAGGGAGCCCGATGTGGGGCTCGATTCCAGGATCCTGGGATCATGACCTGAGCCGAAGGCAGACGCTTAATGACTGAGCCACCCAGGCACCCCTGCTATGACTTTTTAATTTATTTTATTTTAAAGATTTTATCTATTTATTTGAGAGAGAGAACGAGATAGAGAGAGCATGAGAGGGGGGAGGGTCAGAGGGAGAAGCAGACTCCCTGCTGAGCAGGGAGCCCGAGGCGGGACTCGATCCCGGGACTCCAGGATCATGACCTGAGCTGAAGGCAGTCGCTTAACCAACTGAGCCACCCAGGTGCCCCCTGCTATGACTTTTTAAAATGAACATTTGTTAAGTGGAGCTCGGGGTGCTGAAAGGCGAGCGGAGTTTCAGTCAGACCACAGAGATATTGCAATAGAGACGTTTATTACACACAAGTCCGGTCTTGAGGGACCACACAGGGAGGTCAAGGCGGAGTGCAGACAGAGAGGCAGGACCGGGGGCTCATGCCTTTGTTAGGGTCTGCGGGTGGGGTGGTTTGGGCGTCCTGGGCTAGGGCCAGATTGGGCAACTCAGCCCAAAAGAGCAGGGCTTAGATAAGCTGCTTTTATGCCAGAAAGCCCACCATGGGGTTGGTGCAGGGCCTGGCCCAGAGGAGGTACCTGTTCTGTGTTCTCTTCCATTCTGTATGTGTCTCTTTTTTTTTTTTTTTTTAAGATTTTTATTTATTTATTTGAGAGAGAGAATGAGAGAGAGCACGAGAGGGAAGAGGGTCAGAGGGAGAAGCAGACCCCCCGCTGAGCAGGGAGCCCGATGTGGGACTCGATCCTGGGACTCCAGGATCATGACCTGAGCCGAAGGCAGTCGCTTAACCAACTGAGCCACCCAGGCACCCTGTATGTGTCTCTTTGACATCCATTCCTCATAGGCCCAATTTTATTAACTCACTTTTATTTATTTGTTTGTTCGATGCTGTGGCATCTGGGGCCTTCCAGGCTCCCCGGGGAGACACTGCCCTTGCAAGGCTAACCAGTTCTCAGAGATAGAACCTGTTAACCAGCCAGTCCCCAACCACTTCTTTTATTTATTTATTTATTTATTTACTTACTTACTTACTTACTTACTTACTTACTTACTTACTTACTTATTTGACAGAGAGAGACACCGCGAGAGAGGGAACACAAGCAGGGGGAGTGGGAGAGGGAGAAGCAGGCTTCCCGCGGAGCAGGGAGCCCGCCCGATGCGGGGCTCGATCCCAGGACCCTGGGACCATGACCTGAGCCAAAGGCAGACGCTAAACGACTGAGCCACCCAGGCGCCCCTCCCCAACCACTTTTTATCTGACTCTCACAGACTCCCACCAAGCCCCAGGCCTAGACCCTTCCTCCCCACTGTCCCATCCTACCCTTTGGAGGGCTGACTCTTACCAGCATCCCTCCCCAGCTGGACTGGGCGAGGCCAGTCTAGGTCCTCGGTGGCCTGGGCATTTCTCCTGGGAGCCCCCAGGCACAGCTGCAGTTAAGCCATGGCTTCTGCAATCTCCTGCATGATGCTTGTCTGGAGAGCAGAAGCCCCATGAAGGCAGGCCCCTGCTGGCTTGCTGGGCTGAGCCTCTGCTCCACATGGTAAACATTTGTTGTTGCTGAATGGGGCACGGAGCTGAGCAGCCGCTGGGTTTCTCAGAAGCAAGTGAGGCAGGACTGGTAAAAGTGAACAGTGACAACCCTCTGGGATCCTCTGCTCCTGTCCTCACCATCCCCCACCCCCTGCTCTCCAAGGCTGCCCTCTGTCCCCACCCCCTTCGCCAGCCTCAATCACCTGCAAAAGTGTCGTTCATTCCAGGTAGTCTTTAAGCTTTTATTGAACACAGGCTGGTACTCAGCACTTGAAGAGCTGACCAAGTGTCTTTTTTTTTTTTAAAGATTCATTTATTTGAGAGAACGAGCACGAGCTGGGGGAGGGGCAGAGGGAGAGGGAGAATCCTCAAGTAGAGGATGAGCGGGCATCACAGGGACAGGTGATGTCCTCAGGTGTCACTACTGATGTTAATCTTGATCACCTGGCTACGGGGGGTGTCTGCTAGGGTTCCCACTGTAAACTTACTGTCCTTCCCTTTGTACTTGGAAAGTATGCTGAAGGAGGTACTTCGAGACTATCCAAGTATTGTTTCTGCTTAAACAACTTTCACCTGCTAGGCTTAGCATCTGTTGTTGGGTCTTGCCTGTGGCAATGATTACTATGAGGTTCTAATGGTGATTTTCTATTTCCCTCATTCCTTCTGCTATTTGTTGAGATTCTGCTGCGAAAAGAGAGCTGTCTTTTCCGATGGACTCTGAAAAACAAATGGAGGGTTCTAGAGGGGAGGGGGGTGGGAGGATGGGTTAGCCTGGTGATGGGTATTGAGGAGGGCACGTTCTGCATGGAGCACTTGGTGTTATGCACAAACAATGAATCATGGAACACTACATCTAAAACTAATGATGTAATGTATGGGGATTAATATAACAATAAAAAATTAAAAAAAAAAAGAGCTGTCTTTTCTCTCCCATTTATTTATTCAGTTATTTATATCAGCATGGGCTTATGGATATTTATTTTATTCTTGGGCTATATCATGATGGGATTATTTTGTTATCCAGGTTATTCCAATTTTGGCCATAGGGACCAATTTTATGTTTGTTCCTGTATCTTTTTTTTTAAAAGCACTTCATCACCTTCTGGTATTACAGCATGCTCTAGGCTCACCTTGTGTTTTCCCTGCCACTGCCTTGGAATCCAGCACTTCCCCAAGGGTTCCTGGTTTCTTTTATTGGAGACTGGGATTTAGAAACTGAGATTTGGGTCCAGGTATAGTAAGGACTGCTTTTTACATACATCAGTCTTTACGTGTAGTGTAAGGTCTGCTTTTTCTCTGCGTAGACCCCTATTTTCCTTCCCATCTTTTGTGCGGTTACTATACTGTTGTACAATTTACTTTGTTTTTTAAAGTAGACTCCATGCCAAGCATGGAGCTTGAACTCACAACCCTGAGATCAAGACCTGAGATCACAAGTCAGGTGTTTAACTGAGCCACACAGGCGCCCCATACAATTTACCTTTAAATGTGCTAGAAACATTTAGTACATTGCCTTTTTTTTTGCCTTAGTTTGTCAGTTACCTTTTAGCACAATTAAAACTAAAGACATTTTTTACTGTACTCTGAGTTTTCCATTTCTACACTTTGTGTGGATCCATGTTTCAGTCTGACATCTTAGTTCTTCTCCCTGAATCAATTCCCTCACTGTTTATTTCTGATGTCAGCTTTTGAATTCTCAAGGGTGTTTTTGTTTTGTTTAATGAATGTTCTTTTTTATAGTGTCTTGTTCTTGTTTCATGGATGTCTTCCGGAATCTCTGAGGATCCTGAAGAGAGGTTTTAAAAGTTTTCTTCTCTCTGCATGCTCTGTTTACTCATTTTTTTTTTTTAAAGATTTTATTTATTTATTTGACAGAGAGAAACACAGCGAGAGAGGGAACACAAGCAGAGGGAGTAGGAGAGGGAGAAGCAGGCTCTCCGCTGAGCAGGGAGCCCAATGCGGGGCTCCATCCCAGGACCCTGGGATCATGACCTGAGCCGAAGGCAGACACTTAACGACTGAGCCACCCAGGCGCCCCCTCATCATTTCTTCCATGTGTTTAATCTGTGCCTCTCTCACGTGACCTGTTTTCTTCAGATCTACAGTGGGGGGCCCTCGCCTGATGAAATCTAAGAGCAGGGGACTAGCCGGATGGTTGGAAATTCTGAGTGTGTGGGACGTTTGCTAGGCCGAGTATTTTCATGCAGGAAACCCTGGTATTTCTGTATCTTTTCTCTTGGGCTGGTCATCGTCCCAGGAGAGGATTCTGCTACTCCTTGCCAGGAGGGTGAAAGCCTATCCGCTAGCTTTCTCTGAGCCAGCAATAACCACAGCAATTGTTCAGAACTTAGACCAACAAAATGTTTTTTTCAGGCGGAGTGTTTTGTCCCTGACGTAGTTTAGAATCACTGTCGGTGGTGATGAAAAGCAGGACAACTTCTAGTCCCTTTCAGCGTCTTTAAATCCTCTTCCAACGAGGCACCCCCTGTGGCCGGCGCCCACCACGGCTTCCTCTCCCGTCCACATCTGGGTGTACAGCTCAAGCCCTGCCCGCCAGGACCGCCACCCCACCACGGCGCACCCCCAGCCCCCAGGGCTGCGCGCGCCCCCGAGCCCACCGGGCGCTTCTCCTCGGGTCCCCGGGGACCTCCCTTCCGCTCTGGGGAGCTCGGCTAGGAATTTACAAGGACCTCTGGCCGCTCGGTGTAGCCCCTCCAGCCTTATCTAGGTGTTCGCACGGGGCCCTGCTCCAGGGTCCCCGGTCCGGCAAGCTTCACGGAGCAGACACGCACACGTTTTAAAAACTCAGATTTCACGCGAAGCTCTTCCTTTCTGGCCTTTCTTGCTGCAGAAAATGGAAAGGCCGGTCGGGCAGCCGCGATTCCCCGGGCTCGTGGGCCACGCCGGTGTCGCCGTGCGCTCTCGGGTCCCCCGGCCTCCGGCGCTCGCGGCGGGGGAGGGGCGCCCGCGAGGGACCCCGGCCCCTCCCCCCGCCCCACCCCCTGCTGGGCGCGCGCGGGGCCACCTGCTGGTGCAGCGGCGGGCCATCAAGGCGGTCAATCATTAACCGGCCGCGCAGCCGCCACCAGGAAACCCGAGCCCGCGGCGCCAGGCGAGCCCGGCCCGACGGCGGCGGGAGGCGGGGCGCGGGCAGCGGGCGGCGCGCGCCATGGACGCAGGTGAGGGCTCCCGGGGGTCCCGGCGCCGCGGCGGGGGGCGGGCCCGGGAGCTCCTCCCGCGGGGACCAACCTGGCCCTGGGACCCCCTCCTCCAGAACCCGGAACGCCAGGAGGATGCTGTGGAAAGTTCTGGCGACTTAGGCGGCGCTCCTCTCCAGCTCCCTGGGCGCCCCTGCGGGAGCGGAGGGGGAAGGGCGGGCAGCAGGTGCCCCGCGCCGGGCCACTTGGGGGGCGTTTTCCCCTCTTCTCCCCCACGCCCCGTCCTCCACCTGGTGACTTTGCCCGCCCCTCCGGCCACGCAGAAGTTCTTAGAGCGAGGGCAGGGGCCCTGGCAGGGGGTGGGCTGGGCTGGGCTGGGGGAGGGGGACCGAGACGGGGTCGGGGAGGGAGCCGCGGCGGCGGGAAGAGACCGCGCGGAGGCCGGCGCGATGGAACGGGGTGCGGGGACGGAGCAGAGAGATGGGCAGCAAGGGCGGGGCCGAGAGAGGCTCGTTCCGGGAGCTTCGACGCCCCCCCCACCCCGGGACCGGGCCCTGTGCTCGGGAGCCCCAGGCTGGCGGGGCGGGGGGCCGAGGTGGGGATGCGCCCGGAGCTGCGGGTGTGGGGGGCGTGCGCCCGGCGCCGCCCGCCCTCCGCCCCCCTCGCGGCTGGAATGTCCGCGGAGGCTCGGGTGTCGAGAACCCGAGAACCCGAGGCCGCGGGCCCAGCAGCCCCGCCAGCAAATTTATTTACTCAGCAGCCCTATCTCCGCGCCATCGGGCCAGGTATTTGCCCCGGCGGGGGCCCCGGGAAGCTGCGGTTTTTGTTACGATAATTGCGGCTGTGCCGGGCCGGCCTCTGCGAGGGACCAGCCTCTGCGAGGGACCGGCCTCCGGAGCGCATCTGCATCTGGCGGGGCCCCCGGGGAGCGGCCGTCGGCCTCCCTTCGCGCACCTGTGAAATGGGGCAGGTGCCCCTGACCATGACCTGAGACACTAGAGGAGAGCGGGCCAGAGCTTCACGGTGCTTACTTGGAAGTGATTGTTACTCTTCCCATTTCGCAGATGAGGCGCCTGAGGTATGGAGCGCGCGTCAGGGCCCTCAGCTGGTGCAGCCAGACTTCACGCGTTTGCTGGGCCCCGTCCGCGTTCATGCGGATGGACTGTCGGGGGGACGGGGTGCAGGGCCCGGCACCTCATAGATGCTCAGTCATGGTCGCTGCAGTTCATGGTCTTGCCATTATCCTTCACCTGGATGTGTTACCTGCACAGCTTCATGCGCTCGGCAGCCCCCGGGCGCCTGAACCTGCTGAAATCGTGATCTTTTCATAGGGTTTGTGTACAGAACTGCGTTTCCGAGCCCACGGCACTGGTCCGTGGTGGGTGCCCCACAAGAGCGGGCGGGATCGAATGGCTGGCTGGGTGCTCGGTGTATCACCTACGCAGAAGGCCGTTTGGGGGCTCCGTGTGGAGGGGTGGCGGCTTTGAGTAAGAAGAAGCCTCCCCCGCAGACAGCAGACAGGACTTCCCTCCATCCCCCAGTGTTGTAGGCTTGGTTGTTGAAGAACCCCAGCCCTTGGGGGCGGCAGTGAGGTTGGGGCCCTGGAGTTCTCAAGAGCGTCTCCCGAGGCCTCTACAGGGACTGGGGTCTGACTGGTGTCTGTCGTCCTCTTCCAGTCTCTTCCTAACCTCAGGTCACAGTAGCCAGTGTTAGGAGCACTTTACCCCCATTTAATCCCAACGGCAACCCCAGGAGTTGGTGGTGTCCCCATTTTAAGGGTGAGGAAACTGAGAGGCACAGGGAGGTGAAGGGGCCCAGGCGGCATGGTCCCTGGGCTCCAGCTCTTGAGTGGCACCAGCCCGGAGGAGATGAGGGGGGTCTGCTGTGCCTGTCACTCCCCATGTTGCTCTTCCCGCCGCCCCTCTGCACGCTGTCAGGCCGGCGCACCTCCTCAGTCCTGCCTGGGTTTGGCCACTTGCCCACGTCCCTCCCTTCTGCTCAGGCCACTGTCACCTGTCCCTCTGTCCCCACTGCTTCCTTCCTGCTCGCGTTCCGGCCACTTCCCGCACTCGGCTCTGGCTGCCAGAGGAAACCTCCTCTCTCAGTTCTCCGTTGGCTTATGCTGTGTAACAAACTAGCCCAAACTGAGTGGCTTCACACAACAAGCGTGGAGTGTTTCTCAAACTGCTACAAATATTTGTGTGTGTGTGTGTGTGTGTGTGTGTTTAAATCTTCTTGGGCATTTACATGTATTTATTTTTTTAAAGATTTTATCTTATTTTTTTAAAGATATTATTTATTTGACATAGAGTGAGAGAGAGACCAGAGGGGGAGCAGCAGAGGGAGAGGGAGAAGCAGACTCCCCACTGAGCAGGGAGCCCGATGTGGGGCTCGATCCCCGGACCCTGGGGTCATGACCTGAGCTGAGGACGGCAGACACTTAATCCACTGAGCCATCCAGGCGCCCCTGCTACAGATATTTGTGAACAGGTCTTTACGTGGTCCTATAATTTTCTCTCGGGTCCATGCCTATGAGTGGGGTAGCTGGATCCTACGGCAGGTGTATGCTTAACTTTTAAAAGGAACAGTTGACGTGTTTCCCAACGTGGTTTCACTGTTTTCCTTTCTCACCTGCTGTGCCTGAGAGCTGGGGTGTTGGGGTCAGGGTTGTCGGTGGTGGTTAATCCCAGCCCCTCTTAATGGGTGTGTAGTGATACCTCCTGGTTTTAGTTGGCATTTGTAATTTTGATGGCGTTTCTGGCGACTGCTGACACCGAACATCTTTTTTATGTGCTCATCGATCATTTGAATATCCTCTTTGGTGGAGTGTTCACAAATCTTTCATCCATTTTCTCACTGGGATGTTTGACCTGCTGAATTGTGGGAGTTTTTTATGCATTGTTGATACAACTCCTTTGCCTGATACATGTGTTATGAATATTTTTCTCCCATTCTGTGATTTGCCTGTGTATGTTCTTACTGATGGTTTTCTTTTTTTTAAATATTGGCTTTAAAAAAAAGTCCCAGTGTTGTTAACAGTGTTATTAGTTTCAGGTGTACAATATAGTGATTCAATAATTCCATAATTAGTGCTCATCAAGATAAGTGTCCTCTTAATCCCCACCACCTATTTCACCCATTTCCCCCCCTCCACCTCCCCTCTGCTGACCATCTGTTTGTTCTCTACAGTTAATACTCTGCTTTTTGGGTTGTCTCCCTCTCTCTCTTTTCCCCCTTTGCTCATCTCTTTTGTTTCTTAAATTCCACATATGAGTGAAATCATAGGGTATTTGTCTTTCTCTGATTTATTTTGCTTAGCATTATACTCTCTAGCTCTATCCATGTCATTGCAAATGGCAAGATTTCATTCTTTTTTCTTTTTTTTTAAATTTCATACCTATTTAAGAGTAGAGTGAGAGCACGAGCAGGGCTGAGGGGCAGAGGGAGAAGCAGACTCCCCCATTCCCCACCCCCCACAGGGAGCCCACTGCGGGGGCTCCATCAGGATCCCAAGATCATAACCTGAGCCAAAGGCAGACACCCAACTCAGTGAGCCACCCAGGGGCCCTGATTTCATTCTTTTCATAGCTGAATAATATTCTCTCTCTCTACCACCTTTTCTTTATCCATTCGTCTACTGATGGACACTTGGACTGCTTCCATGTCTTGACTATTGTGAATAATGCTGCAGGTAACCCTTTGAATTAGATATCCTTTGAATGTATCCCTTTGAATTAGTGTTTTTGTAATCTTTGGGTAAATACCCAGTAGTGGAATTACTGGATCATAAGGTAGTTCTATTTTCTTTCTTCTTCTTTTTTTTAAATTTAAGTAGGCTCCATGCTGGGAGAGGGAGCTTGAACAGGGGACTTGAACTCAACGATCCTGGGATCAAGACGTGAGCTGAGATCAAGTCAGATGCTTAACCAACTGAGCCACCCAGGTGTCCCTGTGTTTACTTTTTTGAGGAACCTCCATACTGTCTCCCACAGTGGCTGCACCAGTTTGCATTCCCACCAATAGTGCAAGAGGGTTCTTTTTCCTCTACATCCTTGCCAACCCCTGTTGTTTCTTGTGGTGTTGATTGACTGATGTGATATCTCATTGTGTTGTTTTTTTTTTTTAAAGATTTTTTTTATTTATTTGACAGACACACAGTGAGAGAGGGAACACAAGCAGGGGGAGTGGGAGAGGGAGAAGCAGGCTTCCCGTGGAGCAGGGAGCCCGATGTGGGGCTCAATCCCAGGACCCCGGGACCATGACCTGAGCCGAAGGCAGACTCTTAATGACTGAGCCACCCAGGCACCCCTCATTGTGGTTTTGATTTGCATTTCCCTGATGATGAATGATGATGAGCATCTTTTCGTGTGTCTGTTGGTCATCTGTATGTCTTTGGAGAAATGTCTAAAAATGGGCAGAAGACATGGATAATGATTGTTTTTTTGCGTGTGTTGAGTTGTATAAGTTCTTTATGTATTTTGGATACTAATCCTTTATCATGTGTGTCATTTGCACATATCTTCCATTCGGTAGGTTTTCTTTCAGTTTTGTTGGTGGTTTCCTTTGCTGTGCAGCTTAGTGATGTCTTCTGAAGAGGAAAAGTTTTTTTTGTTTGTTTTTAATTTTGAAGTCCAGTTTACAAATTTTTTCTCTTATGGATCATACTTTTGGTGTCATATATAAGAAATCTTTATCCATCCTAAGATCCCACAGATCTTCTATGTTTAATCTAGGAGTTTTATAGTTTCAGGTATTACATTTAGGTTTATGATCCCTTCAGAATTATTTCCTGTGGATGTTGTGAGGAAGAGTCAATATTCACTTTTTTCCATGCAGGTAATCAGTTGATCCTATTTCAGTTATTAAAAAGGCTTTTCTTCAGGGCGCCTAGGTGGCTCAGTCATTGGGCGTCTGCCTTAGGCTCAGGTCATGATCCCAGGGTCCTGGGATCGAGCCCCACATCGGGCCCCCTGCTCTGCGGGAAGCCTGCTTCCCCCTCTCCCACTCCCCCTGCTGGTGTT